CGTCAGCCTCTTCCTGTATCTCTCCTGGCAGATCCAAAGCAAGGTTCTTCGCGACCTCCTGGGGCGGTGTTGGGGCTGCTTTCGCTGTACTGCGTGGTCCTGCCACTTCTGGCTCCTGCTTGGGCGACCTAACGTAAGTTTCTGCCCGAACCTCCGGCGATAGATCCACCCCAACGCTCTCTGGAATTTGCTTGGGTGGTGCAGGCGCTGGCTTTGCATGATTAGGCACATTTCTCTTGCGATGTACGCTCGTTTCTGGGTCTGGCAGAACAGAGGAGAAACTCGGCACCACCTCCGGATCACGTTGCAGATCTCGCATCGGCTGCTGATCTTCGGATGTCATGAAAGCCAGATCGAAGTGAACGTAGCAGCCCTGCGTGAGACCTCGCGCGCTGATCAGCAAGGAGATCGCTGCTGTCCAATATGCTACCACCTCCTGACCCATGTAGAAGAAGGTGTAGACTTGAAGAAGAAACGACAAAGTGGCTTCTCCGGTTTTCTCACTCTGCACCAGAGACACGAAATAGTCTGTCCGCACGTTGGATTTCAAGGAGAGTCGTGTCTCCCGAATGAAGGAAAGGAGGCCCCGGAAGAACACCTGAGGTCCGTCAGAATCTGAACCATGATTATACGGGGCCCGAATAAATAGATTCGAGGTCTGGTGAACATTACGGGGGCTATAAGGGAATGCTACCGCCATTTTTCAGACCCCTATAATACGCATCCAGAATGTCTGAAGAAGGGAGCAGAGCTGCTTCGACTGCCCTGCCAACATTCGTTCTGAGCTTGGGCACACATACGACAGTACTTCTTGCCCACACGGCATATCGTGTTTCTGCCCATGGGCATCTTCTATCTTTCTGCACTTCGGGCTGTAGGCTGAAGTGGGCTTGGCAGCCTCTGAAACGTTTGAAGGAATGGCCGCAGGCTCCGGGAAGCACCGGAATGTGACGTGACGGGAAGGCGCAGGATGTGACTTGGAGAGAAGGACAGAAAACTCATGGCGGAGTCCTTTCGCAAGGGTTTCGGGAGTGTGGGGCGTTTCCGCACGGGTACACGGTCCCGAATGTGCTGGGGCAGATTCCGAGCTGCTGTTTGATTAGGCCGCATACCAGCTCAGAGTGGCCCGAACGAGCGGATGGTACCTGATCTGCTCCTGTGCCTTTGCCCCATACTTAAAGGATCAAGGGACTTANNATATAAGTAAGGTAGCTATGGTTCTAGTTCTCATCATCCCAATCCAGGTGCTCAAAACTCCAGAACTCCCTACACTGTGAAACCTTGCGCCTGGCTACCCTTGAACCTTCAAGTACTGGTAGCTCGGGGGTCCCTGCACTCTTCGAGGGTCCTCTTCCTCCTTCTCTCTCTCTCTCTCTCTGCTGTAGTTCTTGCATCGCCGCAGGGTGCTTTCAAGCCCAATCTGGAAGCCTAGGTCAGAACAAAATCGACCAGGGTCGGAACCATGTCTGCCTGGCTGGATGCGATGTAGCAAAGAACCCCATGTCAAGAGTGAAGTGTGGAAGTATTGGTGCTGCTATCGATAGGGCTCCTTGTAACCATACTACAGTATAGCAAAAACTGTGTCATTCTAGTTAGCATATATATATGTGTGTGTGCATAT